TTAATCAAAAAGTTGTTTATTGAAACTACCTTGTTTTTTGTATCATGCTTGTAAGTATATACGATGCTCAAAATGCTCAAAAAATTCAACAAATTTTCATCAACATTTAAAACTTTTTTCCCATAAGTGTTAAATTCTTTTTTAAGTATACAGTTTCATAGCCCATTCAATTTTAGTGAAACAATGTCCAAACTTCAAGTGGCTAATGATCACCTTTAATTCTTAGTTCTTATAAAACGATGCTTAAAGATTGGTTTGTTCCGTACAATAGCTAAAGAGTGCTTACCCAAAACGCCTTCTTCACTTGGCCAAAGCTGGGAACCGCAGAAGAAGTGCTCTACAATATTCGTGGGAGAATATTCCTAGTATCGAAGAGTGCCTACCAAATAGCCAATGACCGATTACATAAGCCGTGACCACCGTTCTACAAGTACAATTCTCTAGTCAAAACCTGTTGGCCTCTTTAATAATGTTATTTCGAATCGCTAACTTACAAGTTGCCATTGGTTTCCCAATTTTGCCTCTTTTCGCGCAGTGGGAGATTGGTACCTTTATTGGCTAGCTCATCGAGCCTACAATTTCCATCTTCGCTACGACATCAGTGGTCCGTAATTCCGACGTATAATTGCAGTCCAAATTCTTTAGAGAAAACTCCGTAGCCAATTGTCTAGCTTGGGTTCATCCGTGTAAAAATTGTATTCCCCCCTTCTTCATAATCTTGATGTTTGCCATTCTCTTCTGAACGGTATGCTCGTCTTAGTCGATTGCTTGGTTATAACTACCAAGAGTGTGAAGTATAGAGGCGTGGCCGAACCGCTGATCTTTCCATAACACCATACTTTCTAGTCTGAGCGCCGAAGCAGCGGCCACGTATTTGGGGTGGTACTTAAAATACCTGAAATGCATAAAAACGCTGTTCTTTGGACCTTACTAAGTAGTTTTGGGTGGCTTGCCTTTTGCGTTGATGACCACAATAATAGTGTTGATCTGACTTCAGAGGTGTAAAGACAATTTGTAATGCGAGGTGTTAACCTCCATTTGTTTCCGACCGCTTGTTTGCATGTTATGCATTGTTGGTCTTCCTAACTTTTTCCTCTATATGAGTTCTCCATCAAAGGAATCTCAACAGTCTTAAAAATTAGCGGGCAGATTGTGTGGAGCCTGTATTTCCTCGTTTCCTACACTCAGTTCAGCTTCTAAGCGTGGCCATATTAGAGCGAAAAATGTTTTTCAGCGTTTTAGCATATTTACCTTTCATGGAAATTTCCATGCCTTCAGCATGAGAAGTGATGTGGCAAACCCCTCTTTCTTGGGCTATCAAGAAGGAGTTTCCTTCCAATTTTCAGAGAAGAGGGTAAGGAAGGAACACTTCTTGAGGGGTGCCTCTGCTTACCTTTCTGCTGTGTGTGGTGTTGCCAAACCTTATTAAGACGTTCTGCATTTCCAGTAAGAAAAACATTGGGCAGAATGTATAAAAACGAATCAATTGCTTTTCTTTTTAAACGTCATAGATTGCACTTAAATTTATTTGAAAAAATCTACTTAAAGGTCTGAAATAGCCATGTATAATAGCGCAATTTTTATGGCGCTAGCTCAGTAACTCCGGCGCTGTCTATGGTGCCAACGCACTAACTCAGCGTAATAGCGCAGTCTGGTGATTTGAACACGGCGCCATCTGAGTGTCACCACTATACTCATCGTCATACAGTGTCATACACAACACAGTGGTGTCATGTCTATTATTTCATTAGTTTTTGGGCGCTAAACAACGCTTGTACCGCCAGCCGAAATTAATTGCTAACATTGTAGTAAATGCCACGATATTTTCATCATTCTTTAAGGGAAAAGCTTTAGATTTGCCAAGATACATAAGTTTCTGGCGCTCTCACCTCTCAAAAGCAAAAATAAAGTACAGGCATGTAATTTTTCAAAGAATTAAGGCGAATTGTGTGTGTGTCCCATGGGTTTCTTGGTCCTAATGGCGTTAGCGCTTCTTATTTATTGGCGTTGGCGCGGCAACTGCGGTGTTAACGAAATAGTCTAGTCTGAAATTTTAAGAAAAAGCATTTGCTTAGTTTTATGCAAACGACCGTTGTTTTTGGAATATCGTCAGAATTTCACTGCTAATTTTATACTTGCTACTACGTCTACTACAAAAGGCGATCTAATTCTTCCTCTTTCTCCCTACTATTCTATCACAAGTTACAGAAAGTTTTATTATTGAATCATGGCATGGCCGTACCTTTTAATTGCCGGCTATGCTTACCGTACACTGAGCCAAAAGCACAATGGTTTTTTCAGTCAACTTATGGCTTGATATGGTGATTCAAGTTGAACATTTGAGAACAACTTCATATCTAAGGCAGTGGCTGAACGTGCAGAGGTGCTTGCTGTTATTTGTTGGCTTCCAGCAGTATTGAAACCGTCAGCGCGATACATAATTTTTATTTTTTATCACGAAAAAACATCTGTGAAGTGCAGAACCAAATTAAACGACGAAGAAAATTGATTCAAGTTGAACATGTAAAGACCAATTAATAAAGCGGCTGTAGCTGAGTGTGTAGAGATGCTTGCTGTTATTTGCTGATCCCGTCAGAGGCAACGTGTTAATATGATTATAAAAATTTTGTTTTGGATCTCCGAATTATGAAAAAGCACCTGTGAAGTGCAGAGCATAAACATATTTAAACGAAATAAATCGACAACCAAAAGTTTGGTTAATATTGCCAAATAATTGTTGAAAACATCAACCAAGGCATTGTTAATTTGTTGTTTTTTTGCTCGGTGTAGCTGTATGTATGTATACAATGTGAAGATTCGTAGTCGGTGGTATATTGTAGCTCGTCAAATGCTAAGATCTTTCCGTAACAACTACGGAATGCTCCGGCAGTTAGGTTAGACGACCGCATCCGCGGCTGAAGGCACACTTACAGCGCTCTTACACGATATGCTTTTGCATATTTAGGTAAGTCGTGTACGTTGCACGGATTGCACGAAATGCAAAAATACTCTTCCAAATTCGGAAGAGTACGAAAGCACCGCATGAACCAAAAATACAAGATCGCGCACTTTTCTTAGTAGCCGTTATAATCGAATTTAGGAAAAAAGCAGCGCGATTTTGACAGCCGTTTGTTTACATTCGTTCGTTTTTTATAATTTGGTGGTGGCTTTTTACTGCAATTTTCTTCATTTTCGTTTGTGACAATGTGTGTGCACAAAAGGTAGAGAACTATTTAATACAACATTATTTATAGAAGAATTTTCATAATAAATATGATTATTCATGCGTTTAACAATCACGCGGTTTTCAGCGTTCTCTTCATTGTTTACTTCTTACAACAAAGATGGCGTCGAGATTTTAACAGCTAGAAAATAACTTTTTTCTTTCTTTCCTTAAGGCGTCGTGATCTTGTGTCTTTCGTCCATGAGAGCACCCCATTGCAAAATGGTAGCATGCATATTTAGCAAGCAGCGAAATAAGATACAGCAAAAAAAAATGAAGCTAGCGAAATGAGAGAAATATGTAGCAATTCTAACAACAAAACAACTAGCACAGGGTCGCATTTATCTTGCATCCAATAGAGTGGCAGCAATCCCAAAAGAAGGAAGTGTCAATGGTATTTTATTTTGCGATCGCATCTTTCTTCTGGCGTGTCCAAAGATTATAGCCCACCACTTTCATTGTTGAGAGCATCCATATTCGAGTCGAAAGCAAACTTTTGTTCATTTTAACCTTGGCATATTTGCTTAAGCAAACATATCGTATATATTCTGGTTCACGTTGCAAATCTCGATTAAATATGGCATGCATTGACCACGGGCTACAGTAGTCAAATTACGTCACATAGATAACTATTTGGACGACGCACAGTGGGATTTCGGAGGAAAAAAATATATATTGATGATGGTTAGATTTTGTCGCTTTTTATATTCATTATGAGCAGGGTTTTTGAGGTTAGGTTTGTGTGGGAGGTATGCGTTAATGTAAATATATTTTGCTAATTTTTTGTATGTTTACTTGTTCTATTTCTGTAAATACATGGACGAAACTTCGGAGTGCTACAATCTTCGGTGCCCTTTGCCATAAAAATATGCGGACCTAACACACTGTGCAACGTCAGAGCTACACCACAGTAGACTGTGGTTAGATTAAAACCACTCGTACATATACACATGTTATGTATATAGATTTATAGGTAGGAGTATTTCCGATATGTGAGCGACAGAGAAGATTCTTATCCTTCCTTTCTGTCGTGCGTACGAATTCATGAATTCAATTCAAAAAAATCATTTTTACGTTGACAAAACGCTTCAAAGATACAGATAAAATACGAATTTAATGACGCGTAAGGTTATTTTCAATATATTCGTACCATATTTCAATGAGAATTCAAGAAAGAAAACAAAAAACAAGTGAAAGATAAATTTCAACTGAGCAACTTCCAATGTGAGATCAATTTTAGATGATCGACTTCAGCAATTTTAAAAAAATTGGAATGGTGCGTACAGTGAAACCTCCCTTGGGCGGGCACTCACCATCAGTCAATGGGTCTAATCGGAAATCATGAAATTTTCCTATCATTTTCTATACAAAAATTTCAAATTTTTCGATGTACATATCGTCGCTGCCATGTCAAACTCTCCGATGTGCTAAACTGCCTTTTCATTTTCGATACCTTGCGCATGCGTTTAAATGATACGCAAGTTAGCAAATCCTCGAATTTCTATTTTTTTTTAGAAGCATAGGATACTGGCTTTAACAAGCTGTCGAATTCCACACTCTTTCCTAATGACAACAACAAATTTTATAATATTATCGTAACCATCATCCCTGAAAAGCTTCAAAGAGCAGGGAATGTGCTTTTTTATTATTTTAT